GTGTGTAAGTGAATGACTGAGTGAGTAGGTGACTGAGTGAGTGACTGTGTGAGTAGGTGAGTGACTGAGTGTGAGTGAGTGACTGAGTGTGTAATTGAGTAGGTGAGTGAGTGAGTGTGAGTAGGTGAGTAGGTGAGTGTGTGACTGACTGAGTGACTAAGTGTGTAAGTAGGTGAGTGTGTAAGTAGGTGACTGAGTGAGTAGGTGACTGAGTGAGTGACTGTGTGAGTAGGTGAGTGAGTAGGTGAGTGACTGAGTGACTGTGTGAGTAGGTGAGTAGGTGAGTGTGTGACTGACTGAGTGACTGAGTGAGTGACTGAGTAACTGAGTGACTGAGTGTGTAAGTGAGTGAGTGGTGAGTGAGTAGGTGACTGAGTGAGTGACTGAGTGAGTGAGTGTGTGAGTGACTGAGTGAGTGACTGAGTGAGTGACTGAGTGAGTGATCACTGTCATCCCACCACTCCCTGCTCCCCTCCCCCCCAGGCGGTGTGGCGAGGTCTCTGTGTCCGCCGTCGTTTGCGCATAGCAGCAGCAGCTGGAGGTGTGGGTGGAGGTGTGGGTGGAGGTGTGGGTGGAGGTGTGGGTGGAGGTGTGGGTGGAGGCGTGGGTGGAGGTGTGGGTGGAGGTGTGGGTGGAGGTGTGGGTGGAGGTGTGACCCTGGGCCAGAGGGCTCACTCAGCGCTGACACAGCTGAGGCAGCGGTACATGTCCAGCGTGCTGCTAGCACTACACCACCTGGGTGAGTTACACACAGACAGACAGTCACACACACACACAGACACACACACAGTCACACACACACACACAGTGATACACACACAGTGATACACACACACAGTGATACACACACACACAGCGGTACATGTCCAGCGTGCTGCTAGCACTACACCACCTGGGTGAGTTACACACAGACACAGTCACACACAGTCACACACACACACAGTCACACACACACACACAGTCACACACACACACACAGTCACACACACACAGTGATACACACACAGTGATACACACACAGTCATACACACACAGTGATACACACAGTCACACACACACACAGTCACACACACACACAGACACACACACAGTCACACACACACACAGTCATACACAGTCATACACACACACAGTCATACACACAGTTACACACACACAGTCATACACACAGTTACACACAGACACAGTCACACACACAGTGATACACACACACACAGTCATACACAGTCATACACACACACAGTCATACACACAGTTACACACACACAGTCATACACACAGTTACACACAGACACAGTCACACACACAGTGATACACACACACACAGTCATACACAGTCATACACACACACAGTCATACACACAGTTACACACACACAGTCATACACACAGTCACACACACACACAGTCACACATACACACACACAGTCACACATACACACACACACAGTCATACACACACAGTCACACACACACAGTCATACACAGTCATACACACACACAGTCATACACACAGTTACACACACACAGTCATACACACAGACACACACACACACATACACACAGTCACACACATTCATACACACAGTCACACATACACAGTCATACACACACACAGTCATACATACAGTTACACACACACAGTCATACACACAGACACACACACAACAACAACAACAACCGCCATTCGCCACTAAGTGGCGGTGACGTCACCACGACGCTTGTGCCAGGCTATGTGCACCCTGAGGCCACGTGAAGTGTCGAACGCCCGCTGGCAGGAGGTCACGGGGCAGACCCAGGTGCCACGGGTCGACTGACTGAGATGACTGGCTGATGCACCACCTGTGCCCCCTACTGTGCCAACCTGCTGTGCTTTAGCCACCCGGCGCTCCGCTCGCTGTTGTGAGCGTCGCTCCTCCGCCCTCCGTTGTTGTTGGAGGGCGACTGCCTCCAACTGCCCAGTAGCATCCTTCACGAGCCTCCTCCACAGAGGCCGATCTTGACACCGCTGGTACCAGTCATCGGCAAGTCCACTCAGCTCCACGTCCTCCTGTACCACATCACTCCATCTCTTCTCTAGCCCGTGCCGCGCCCGCTTAGCCCCCTCAATCCGGCCAAACAAAAGCTGTTTCGGCATGCGGTGGCTGGGCATGCGGGCTACATGACCCAGCCATCGCAGCCTTGCCTGCCGGAGGAGCTCACCGATGGGACCCTGCCCAGATCTTTCAAGGATTTGTGAGCTCCTCACACAATCCAGTCTGGTTAAACCCAGGATGGATCGTAGGCAGGCCAGCCTAAATGTTTCTAACCGGCGAAGATGTTCCATTAGGGGGGTCCACGTTTCGCAAGCGTAGAGAAGGGAGGGAATGACCGTGGCCGAGAAGACCTGAAGTTTAGTGCGGAGCGACAGACCAGGTAGCTTCCACACAGCGTTACGCAACCGATGAAAAGATATTGCCGCTCGACTGATTCGGAGTGAGACCTCTGCTGTTAAACTGGAGCCAGTCATAAGCACACTGCCCAGGTATGGGAAACTCTCCACTCTCTCCACAACTGCCCCATCACCGATTGGGAGTTGTGGGGGTGGAGTGTCTGATGGTACAAAATACCCAGGCAGGTGCTTAGTTTTGGTGGGGCTGATGGTAAGGCCCCACCTCTTAGTGGCACGCTCCAGTCTCAGCAGCAGCGTCTTCAACTCCTCCTCTGACTGAGCAGCTATTACCAAGTCATCAGCATACATAACGTGGTTGAGCAATAGGGAGCCATCCCTTGACCGCACCCGGGCATCGATTAGCCTCCCATTATATCTGTACCATATGGAGATTCCCCCGGTACAGCTATTGAAGGCTTCACGAACTACGTGGTCAAAATAGATGTTAAATAATGTGGGAGCCAGAGGACATCCCTGTCGCACCCCAAGGTGTACAGGGAATGGCTCTGACTCCCGGCCACGTAGTTTTACCCGGGCCCGCTCACCATCATGAAGGTCCTTAATGATCGTGAGCAGAGGGTCAGGTACTCCAAAAGCACGAAGAACGACCCAGAGCCCAGGCCTACTGATGGTATCATAGGCCTTGACCAGGTCAATAAAGCAGAGATGTAGGTCTTGTTGGAATTCCCTACACCTCTGCTGTAGCAGACGGACAGAAAATATGGCATCTGTGCAGGACCGCCCTTTCCTGAAACCACATTGGGGCTCCGCAAGCCTCTCCTCAGCGTGCCTGGCAAGGCGATGCTGAATAATCCTTGCCAGGACCTTTCCCGGCACACTGAGGAGTGAGATGCCCCTGTAGTTGTTACAGTCTGTGCGGTCCCCCTTTTTAAGAAGGGGGACCACCAGGGCATCCTTCCAATCCTGCGGAACCCGTCCAGTGGTCCAGACTGTTGTTATGATGTCATATAGGGCAGTCTGTGCACAAACGCCACCCTCCCTCAGCATTTCGCTTGGGAGATCATCTCTGCCCGCTGCCTTTCCTGGTCTCAGACTCCGTATCGCCTTCAATACTTCCTCAGCAGATGGCACCTCAGCCAGCCACTCACAGGGGGTGACTTCATCCAATATTTGAGGCACCGCAGCCTCAGCAGGGTCATCCTCACTTTGTGCCACGATGTTTTCCTGGCTGAGGGATTTTCCCTCCCCCAGGACCTCACAGAAATGCTCAGCAAATCTGCGAACCTGTTCCTGGGGGTCGGAAATTGGATCACCGTTTTTTTCCCCTAACGATGGTAATAGGTGTGGCGCTGCAGGTTACTTTTTTGATGGAGTTAAATAGAGATTTGTGATCACGGGCCACTGAGGCAGACTCCATCTCCTCAGCAACCCGCGACCACCACCCATCCTTGCAGCGCCTCACGGCTCTCCGAACCTCCGAGCGAAGGCTGCGGTAAGCCTCCTCATTCTCTGACGTGGGATTCTGTAGCCGATGACAGTGGGCCTGTCGCTTTTTCTCAACCATCGTGAACAACTCCTCTGTCATCCAGGGTGTCTGGGGAGGTCTGGACCGCGTACCCAAAGCAGCCATTGCAGCTGCATGAGTCACAGTCCTAAACCTCGCCCATTTACCCTCGACATCAGGAGGAGTCGGGGACGATACCAATCCCAGCCGCAAGCGATGATGAAATTCTCGCTTGCAACTTTCATCAGATAACTGAGACCAGGCCACTTTAGGTTGGAATGGGGTCCTGGGTGTACACCCACCACCGGAGTGGAAGAATGGCCGGCGCATCTTACAGATGACTAGTCGATGGTCAGAGGGCAGATCAGCTCCACGGTAGGTCCTGGTGTCAATGACATGGGCTCGCATTCGCTGGTCCGTCACTATGTAGTCCAGCAGATGTTCTTGCTTGGACCCGGCATGCATCCATGATGTTGTGTGGATGCGCCGATGCCGGAACAGCGTGTTGGTAATTACAAGCCCATGGGCTGCACAAAAATCTAGCAGCCTCCTACCGTTGTTATTGAGCTGATCTGGCCCATGCCCTCCAATCACTCCAGACCAGGTGCCAGTATCATGACCAACTCGGGCATTGAAGTCACCCAACATGATGACTCTATCCCGAGGGGCCACTTTAGCCAGCACCTGTGACAGGAGGTCATAGAAGGCATCTGACTCATCGGCTTTGCCTGCATCCCTCCACGGATGTTCATCTTCGGTGGGGGCATAAGTAACCACGACCACCATTCCTCGCCTCCGGTTGATGGGAAGGCGAGCCCAAAGTAGCCTGGGGCTTACAGCTTCCCACACCTCACCGCCACGCTCCCACGCCCCCTTCATTCTTTTGTTCAAAAGAAGACCCACACCCTGTTGTTTGGCGGTCTGCTGCCCCGAGTAGAGGACTGTCCACCCCTCATGGTGGCAGGAGCCAGAGCCGGTCCACCGGACCTCCTGAATGCCGCATAGATCCAGGCGGTACCGGTCCAGCTCCCGACACACATACACACAGTCACACACATTCATACACACAGTCACACATACACACAGTCATACACACACAGTCATACACAGTCATACACACACACAGTCATACACACTCACTCACACACACAGTCATACACACACACAGTCATGCACACTCACACACACAGTCATACACACACACACAGTCATACACACACACAGTCATACACACACACACAGTCATACATACACACACACAGTCATACACACTCACACACACACACAGTCATACACACACACAGTCATACACACACACACACAGTCACACACACACAGTCACACACACACAGTCACACACACAGTCTCACACACACATACACACAGTCACACACACAGTTATATACACACAGTCACACACACACACACACAGTCATACAACGCACACACACAGTCATACACCCACACAGTCACACACACAGTCACACACACAGTCACACACACACAGTCACACACACAGTCATACACACAGACACACACACACAGTCATACAAACAGTCACACACACACAGTCATACACAGTCACACACACACAGTCATACACACACACAGTCATACACACAGACACACACACAGTCATACACACAGACACACACACACAGTCATACACACAGACACACACACACACAGTCATACACACACACAGTCACACACACACAGTTATACACACACACAGTCACAGACACACACAGTCACAGACACACACACACACACAGTCATACACACACACAGTCACACACACACAGTTATACACACACACAGTCACAGACACACACAGTCACAGACACACACACACACACACACACACAGTCATACACACACACAGTCACACACACACAGTTATACACACACACAGTCACAGACACACACAGTCACAGACACACACACACACACACAGTCATACACACACACAGTCACACACACACAGTTATACACACACACAGTCACAGACACACACAGTCACAGACACACACACACACAGTCATACACACACACAGTCACACACACACAGTCACAGACACACACACACACAGTCATACACACTCACACACACACACAGTTATACACACACACAGTCACAGACACACACAGTCACAGACACACACAGTCACAGACACACACACACACACAGTCATACACACACACAGTCACACACACACAGTTATACACACACACAGTCACAGACACACACAGTCACACACACACACAGTCATACACACACACAGTCACACACACACAGTTATACACACACACAGTCACAGACACACACAGTCACAGACACACACACACAGTCACAGACACACACAGTCACACACACACAGTTATACACACACACAGTCACAGACACACACAGTCACAGACACACACACACACAGTCATACACACACACAGTCACACACACACAGTTATACACACACACAGTCACAGACACACACAGTCACAGACACACACAGTCATACACACACACACACAGTCATACACAGTCATACACACACACAGTCACAGACACACACAGTCACAGACACACACAGTCATACACACACACACACAGTCATACACAGTCATACACACACACAGTCACAGACACACACAGTCACAGACACACACACACACACAGTCATACACACACACAGTCACACACACACAGTTATACACACACACAGTCACACATACACAGTCACAGACACACACAGTCACAGACACACACAGTCACAGACACACACACACACACACAGTCATACACACACACAGTCACACACACACAGTTATACACACACACAGTCACAGACACACACAGTCACAGACACACACACACACACAGTCATACACACACACAGTCACACACACACAGTTATACACACACACAGTCACAGACACACACAGTCACAGACACACACACACAGTCATACACACACACAGTCACACACACACAGTTATACACACACACAGTCACAGACACACACAGTCACAGACACACACACACACACAGTCACACACACACACAGACACACACACACAGTTATACACACACACAGTCACAGACACACACAGTCACAGACACACACACACACACAGTCATACACACACACAGTCACACACACACAGTTATACACACACACAGTCACAGACACACACAGTCACAGACACACACACACACACAGTCATACACACACACAGTCACACACACACAGTTATACACACACACAGTCACAGACACACACAGTCACAGACACACACACACACACAGTCATACACACACACAGTCACACACACACAGTTATACACACACACAGTCACAGACACACACAGTCACAGACACACACACACAGTCATACACACACACAGTCACACACACACAGTTATACACACACACAGTCACAGACACACACAGTCACAGACACACACACACACAGTCATACACACACACAGTCACACACACACAGTTATACACACACACAGATATACACACATAGTCATACATAGACACACAGACACACACACCCACACACCACCACCACTACACCACCACCAAACACCACCACACACCACCACACACCACCACAACACACCACACACACCACCACACGCACCACCACCACCACACACACCACCACCACTACACACCACCACTACACACCACCACTACTACTACTACCACCACTACTATACACCACTATACACCACTACCACCACTACTACTATACACCACTACCACTATACACCACTACCACTACACACCACTACTATACACCACTACTACTACACACCACTACTACCACTACTATACACCACTACTACCACTACTATACACCACTACTACTACCACCACTACACACCACTACACACCACTACCACCACCACTACCACTACTATACACCACCACTACCACTACACACCACTACCACTACCACCACTATACACCACCACTACCACTACTATACACCACCACTACCACTACACACCACTACCACTACCACCACTATACACCACTACACACCACCACTACCACCACTACCACTACTACCACCATCACTACCACCACTACCACTACTACCACCATCACTACCACCACCACCACTACCACTACACACCACTACTATACACCACTACACACACCACTACCACCACTACTACTACTATACACCACTACTATACACCACTACTACTACTACACACACCACTACTACTACTATCCACTACTGCTACACACACCACTACTACCACCACTACCACCACTACTATACACCACTACCACTACTACTACCACTACTACCACTACTATACACCACCACTACTACTACTACCACTACTACTACTACCACTACTACCACTACTACTACCACTACTACTACTGCCACTATTACTACTACTACCACTACTACTACCACCACTACTACTACCACTACTACTACCACCACTACTATTCACCACTACTTCTACCACTACTACCACTACTACCACTACTACTACTACCACTACTACTACTACCACTACTACTACCACTACTACTACTACCACTACTACTACCACTACTACTACTACCACCACTACTATACACCACTACTACTACCACTACTACTACTACCACTACTACTACTACTACCACTACTACTACCACTACTACTACTACCACTACTACTACCACTACTACTACTACCACCACTACTATACACCACTACTACTACCACTACTACTACTACCACTACTACTACTACCACTACTACTACCACTACTACTACTACCACTACTACTACCACCACTACTATACACCACTACCACTACTATACACCACTACTACTACTACCACCACTACTATACACCACTACCACTACTACTACCACTACTATACACCACTACCACCACTATACACCACTATACACCACTATACACCACCACCACCACTACCACCACTACCACTACCACCACCACCACTACCACCACCACCACTACCACCACCACCACTACCACCACCACCACTACCACCACTACCACCACTACCACCACCACCACCACTACCACCACCACCACTACCACCACTACCACTACCACCACCACCACCACTACCACCACTACCACCACCACCCCCACCACGTGACCACCCTCACCACGTGACCACCCTCACCACGTGACCACCCTCACCACGTGACCACCGTGTGCTAGAGGTGTCCACGCGGCTGTCGAGGGAGTGCTGTGAGTCTCTGGCGTCTCTGGGCGTCGTGACGGAGCTGCTGACCACCACCACCACTACCATCACTACCATCACTAACACTACTATACACCACCACCACTACCACTAACACCACCACTACTATACACTACTAACACTACTATACATCACTACCACTACCACCACTATACACCACCACCACTAACACCACCACTACTATACACAACACCACTATACACCACCACCACTAACACCACTACTATACACTACTATACATCACCACCACTACCACTATACACCACTAACACTAACACTACTATCACTATACACCACTACCACCACTACTGCTACCACTATACAACACTACCACTACTATACACCACTACTACTACCACTACTACCACCACTACTACCACCACTACTACCACTAACACTACTACTACTACCACCACTATACACCACTACCACCACTACCACCACCCTCACCACCCTCACCACGTGACCACCCTCACCACGTGACCACCCCCCCACGTGACCACCGTGTGCTAGAGGTGTCCACGCGGCTGTCGAGGGAGTGCTGTGAGTCTCTGGCGTCTCTGGGCGTCGTGACGGAGCTGCTGACGCTGATGGCCGCGTGCAACCGCAGCCTGCCCAGCCTGGAGGCCTTGCTGCTGGACGTCACCGTGCTGCTGAACCTCGCCAAGGTGATGGTGGTGGTGGGTGGTGGGTGGGTGGGTGGGCATGTTGGTGGATTGGTGGGTGGGTGGATTAATGGGTGGGTGGGTGGCTGGATTAATGGGTGGGTGGGTGGGTGAATGGGTGGGTGGGTGGATTAATGGGTGGGTGGGTGGATTAATGGGTGGGTGGGTGGGTGAATGGGTGGGTGGGTGGTTGAATGGATGGGTGGGTGGGTGGCTGGATTGATGGGTGGGTGGGTGAATGAATTAATGGGTGGGTGGGTGAATGGGTGGGTGAGTGATGTGTGTGTGTGTGTGTATACATGTGTGTGTATATAAATGTGTGTGTGTGTATATGAATGTGTGTATATAAACGTGTGTATATAAGTGTGTATATGTGTATATAAATGTGTATATAAGTATATAAATGTGTATATATGAATATATAAACGTGTGTGTGTATATAAATGTATATACATGTGTATATAATTGTGTATAAGTATATAAGTGTATAAACGTGTGTGTGTGTATATAAGTGTATATATAAGTGTGTATAAGTGTATAAACGTGTGTGTGTGTATATAAGTGTGTGTATAAACGTGTGTGTGTGTATAAATGTATGTGTGTGTATATAAGTGTGTGTGTATATATATAAGTGTGTATATAAGTGTGTTTGTGTGTGCTGTGTGTGTGTGTGTATATATAAATGTGTGTGTGTGCTGTGTGTGTGTGTGTGTATAAATGTGTGTGTGTGTATATAAAAGTGTGTGTGTATATAAGTGTGTGTATATATAAAAGTGTATATGTGTGTATATAAGTGTGTGTGTGTGTGTGTATATAAGTGTGTGTGTGCTGTGTGTGTGTGTATATATAAACGTGTGTGTGTATATAAGTGTGTGTATAAACGTGTGTGTGTGTGTGTATATAAGTGTGTGTGTGTGTATATAAATGTATGTGTGTGTGTGCTGTGTGTGTGTGTATATATAAACGTGTGTGTGTGTATATAAGTGTATAAACGTATGTGTGTGTGTATATAAGTGTGTGTATATGTGTATATAAATGTGTATATAAGTATATAAACGTGTGTGTGTGTATATATAAGTGTGTGTGTGTATATAAGTGTGTATAAGTGTATAAATGTGTGTATATATATAAAAGTGTATATAAGTGTGTATAAGTTTGTAAAAGTGTGTATATAAACGTGTGTGTGTATATAAGTGTATATATAAGTGTATATAAAAGTGTGTATATAAGTATATAAACGTGTGTGTGTGCTGTGTGTGTGTGTATATATAAACGTGTGTGTGCTGTGTGTGTGTGTGTGTATAAACGTGTGCTGTGTGTGTGTGTATATAAGTATATAAAAGTATATAAATGTGTGTGTGTGTGTATATATAAACGTGTGTGCTGTGTGTGTGTGTATAAATGTGTGTGTGTGTGTATATACACGTATATGTGTGTGTGTGTGTATAAATGTGTGTGTGCTGTGTGTGTGTGTGTATATATAAACGTGTGTGTGTGTATATAAAAGTATATGTGTGTGTGTGTGCTGTGTGTGTGTATATATAAACGTGTGTGCTGTGTGTGTGTGCTGTGTGTGTGCTGTGTGTGTGTGTATAAATGTGTGTGTGTGTGTGCTGTGTGTGTGTATAAATGTGTGTGTGCTGTGTGTGTGTGTGTATAAATGTGTGTGTGTGTGTATAAATGTGTGTGTGTGTGCTGTGTGTGTGTGTATATAAATGTGTGTGTGTGTGCTGTGTGTGTGTGTGTATAAATGTGTGTGTGCTGTGTGTGTGTGTGTGTATAAATGTGTGTGTGCTGTGTGTGTGTGTATAAATGTGTGTGCTGTGTGTGTGTGTGTGTATAAATGTGTGTGTGTGTGCTGTGTGTGTGTGTGTGTATATAAATGTGTGTGTGTGTGCTGTGTGTGTGTGTGTATAAATGTGTGTGTGCTGTGTGTGTGTGTATAAATGTGTGTGCTGTGTGTGTGTGTGTGTATAAATGTGTGTGTGTGCTGTGTGTGTGTGTGTGTAAATGTGTGTGCTGTGTGCTGTGTGTGTGTGTATAAATGTGTGTGTGCTGTGTGTGTGTGTATAAATGTGTGTGCTGTGTGTGTGTGTGTGTATAAATGTGTGTGCTGTGTGTGTGTGTGTATAAATGTGTGTGTGTGTGTGTATAAATCTGTGTGCTGTGTGCTGTGTGTGTGTGTGTATAAATGTGTGTGCTGTGTGCTGTGTGTGTGTATAAATGTGTGCTGTGTGTGTGTGTGTGTGTATAAATGTGTGCTGTGTGTGTGTATAAATGTGTGTGTGTGTGTATAAATGTGTGTGTTCTGTGTGTGTGTGTGTGTATAAACGTGTGTGTGTGTATAAATGTGTGTGTGTGTATAAACGTGTGTGTGTGTGTGTATATATATAAATGTGTGTGTGTGTATATATAAACGTGTGTGCTGTGTGTGTATATATATAAACGTGTGTGCTCTGTGTGTGTGTGTGTATAAATGTGTGTGTGCTGTGTGTGTATATAAATGTGTGTGTGCTGTGTGTGTGTGTGTGTATATAAATGTGTGTGTGCTGTGTGTGTGTGTGTATAAATGTGTGTGTGTGTGTATATATATAAATGTGTGTGTGTGTGTATATATATAAATGTGTGTGTGTGTATATATATATAAATGTGTGTGTGTGTGTGTGTATAAACGTGTGTGTGTGTGTGTATATAAGTATATAAATGTGTGCTGTGTGTGTGTGTATATATAAATGTGTGTGTGTGTGCTGTGTGTGTATATAAATGTGTGTGTGTGTGTGTGTATAAACGTGTGCTCTGTGTGTGTGTGTATATATATAAGTGTGTGCTCTGTGTGTGTATATAAATGTGTGTGTGTGTATATAAACGTGTGTGTGTGTGTATATATAAGTGTGTGTGCTGTGTGTGTGTGCTCTGTGTGTGTGTATAAATGTGTGTGTGTGTGTGTGTATAAACGTGTGCTCTGTGTGTGTGTGCTGTGTGTGTGTGTGTATATATAAGTGTGTGCTGTGTGTGTGTGTGTGCTCTGTGTGTGTGTATAAACGTGTTCTGTGTGTGTGTGTGTGTGTATAAACGTGTGTGTGTGCTGTGTGTGTGTGTGTATATATAAGTGTGTGCTCTGTGTGTGTGTGTATATATATAAATGTGTGTGTGCTCTGTGTGTGTGTATATAAATGTGTGTGTATGTGTGTGTGTATAAATGTGTGCTCTGTGTGTGTGTGCTGTATGTGTGTGTGTATATATAAGTGTGTGTGTGTGCTCTGTGTGTGTGTGTGTGTATATAAATGTGTGTATAACTGTGTGTGCTCTGTGTGTGTGTATATATATAAACGTGTGTGTGCTGTATGTGTGTGTGTATAAACGTGTGTGTATGTGTGTGTGTATATATATATAAATGTGTGTGTGTGCTCTGTGTGTGTGTGTGTGTTTATGTGTGTATGTGTGTGTGTGTGCTTCTCGGTGGTCAGTACGAGGTGACGGCACCGGCGGTGCGGGCAGACCCTCGCTGGCCGGCGCTCCTCCTCCACACACTGCTGGTGTCACGACTGTCTGACCCCACGGGGTCACTCTTCAGTAGGAGCTGCTGCCTACTGGCGGCAGTGTGCAGGGGCTCGCAGAGCTCCAGGCGGGTAGGCAGAGACACGGACACACTCAGAGAGACACAGAGACACTCACAGAGACACACAGAGACACACAGAGACACACAGAGACACACAGAGACACACAGAGAGACACAGAGAGACACAGAGAGACACAGAGAGACACAGAGAGACACAGAGACGCTCCTCCTCCTCCACACACTGCTGGTGTCACGACTGTCTGACCCCACGGGGTCACTCTTCAGTAGGAGCTGCTGCCTCCTGGCGGCTCTGTGTAGGGGCTCGCAGACTGCCAGGCGGGTAGGCAGGGACACACACAGAGACACAGAGACACAGAGAGACACAGAGACACTCACAGAGACACTCACAGAGACACAGAGACACAGACACACACACACACACAGAGAGACACAGAGACGCTCCTCCTCCTCCTCCACACACTGCTGGTGTCACGACTGTCTGACCCCACGGGGTCACTCTTCAGTAGGAGCTGCTGCCTCCTGGCGGCCCTCTGCAGGGGCTCGCAGAGCTCCAGGCGGGTAGGAGGAGACACGGACACACTCACAGAGACACAGAGACACAGAGAGACACAGAGACACTCACAGAGACACAGAGACACTCACAGAGACACAGAGACACAGAGAGACACAGAGACACACACACAGAGAGACACAGAGACACTCACAGAGACACAGAGAGACACAGAGACACAGAGAGACACAGAGACACACACAGAGAGACACAGAGACACTTCTCCTCCTCCACACACTGCTGGTGTCACGACTGTCTGACCCCACGGGGTCACTCTTCAGTAGGAGCTGCTGCCTCCTGGCGGCTCTGTGTAGGGGCTCGCAGAGCTCCAGGCGGGTAGGCGGGGACACACACAGAGACACAGAGACACACAGAGAGACACAGAGACACTCACAGAGACACTCACAGAGACACAGAGACACTCACAGAGACACTCACAGAGACACAGAGACACTCACAGAGACACTCACAGAGACACAGAGACACTCACAGAGACACTCACAGAGACACACAGAGACACAGAGAGACACAGAGACACTCACAGAGACACTCACAGAGACACTCACAGAGACACTCACAGAGACACTCACAGACTCACAGAGACACTCACAGAGACACTCACAGAGACACAGAGACACAGAGACACTCACAGAGACTCACAGAGACACAGAGAGACACAGAGACACACACTCACAGAGAGACACAGAGACACTCACAGAGACACACACAGAGACACTCACAGAGACACTCACAGAGAGACACAGAGAGACACTGAGAGACACAGAGAGACACAGAGACGCTCCTCCTCCTCCTCCACACACTGCTGGTGTCACGACTGTCTGACCCCACGGGGTCACTCTTCAGTAGGAGCTGCTGCCTCCTGGCGGCTCTGTGTAGGGGCTCGCAGAGCTCCAGGCGGGTAGGCAGGGACACACACAGAGACACAGAGACACAGAGACACTCACAGAGACACAGAGAGACACAGAGACACACACAGAGACACAGACACACTCACAGACTCACTCACAGACTCACAGAGACACTCACAGAGACACTCACAGAGACACAGAGACACAGAGACACTCACAGAGACACTCACAGAGACACACACAGAGACACAGAGAGACACAGAGAGACACAGAGACACTCCTCCTCCACACACTGCTGGTGTCACGACTGTCTGACCCCACGGGGTCACTCTTCAGTAGGAGCTGCTGCCTACTGGCGGCCCTCTGCAGGGGCTCGCAGAGCTCCAGGCGGGTAGGCAGGGACACACACAGAGACACAGAGACACAGAGAGACACAGAGACACAGAGACACTCACAGAGACACTGAGAGACACAGAGACACTCACAGAGACACAGAGAGACACAGAGACACTCACAGACTCACAGAGACACTCACAGACTCACAGAGACACAGAGAGACACAGAGACACTCAGAGGCACACACACACTCACACAGAGACACTCACAGAGAGACACACACACACACACAGAGACACAGAGAGACACAGAGAGACACAGAGACACTCACAGAGACACTCACAGAGACACTCACAGAGACACTCACAGAGACACTCACAGAGACACAGAGACACACACAGAGACACTCACAGAGAGACACTCAGAGACACAGAGAAACACAGAGACACTCAGAGGCACACACACACTCACACAGAGACACTCACAGAGAGACACACACACAGAGACACAGAGAGACACAGAGAGACACAGAGACGCTCCTCCTCCTCCTCCACACACTGCTGGTGTCACGACTGTCTGACCCCACGGGGTCACTCTTCAGTAGGAGCTGCTGCCTACTGGCGGCCCTCTGTAGGGGCTCGCAGACTGCCAGGCGGGTAGGCAGGGACACGGACACACTCAGAGAGACACAGAGACACTCACAGAGACACTCACAGACACACTCACAGAGACACAGAGACACTCACAGAGACACTCACAGAGACACAGAGACACAGAGACACTCACAGAGACACTCACAGAGACACAGAGATACTCACAGAGACACTCACAGAGACACTCACAGAGACACAGAGACACTCACAGAGACACTCACAGAGACACAGACGCTCACAGAGACACGGACACACTCACAGAGACACTCACAGAGACACACTCAGAGACACAGAGACACTCACAGAGACACTCACAGAGACACAGAGACACTCACAGAGACACAGAGACACTCACAGAGACACTCACAGAGACACAGAGACACAGAGACACTCACAGAGACACTCACAGAGACACTCACAGAGACTCACAGAGACACTCACAGAGACACTCACAGAGACACTCACAGAGACACTCACAGAGACACTCACAGAGACACTCACAGAGACACTCAGAGACACTCACAGAGACACTCACAGAGACACTCACAGATACTCTCTGTGATCTCTCTGTGATCTCTCTGCGTGATCTCTCTGCGTGATCTCTCTGTGATCTATATCTGTAATCTATCTGTGATCTATATCTGTAATCTATCTGCGTGATCTCTCTGTGATCTATCTCTGTAATCTATCTGTAATGTCTCTGTGATCTATCTCTTTGATCTATCTCTGTGATCTATCACTGTGATCTCTATGATCTATCTCTGTGATCTATCTCTGTGATCTATCTCTATGATCTATCTCTATGATCTCTCTCTGTGATCTCTCTCTGTGATCTCTCTCTCTGTAATCTCTCTCTGTAATCTATCTCTATGATCTCTCTCTGTGATCTCTCTCTATGATCTCTCTCTCTGTAATCTCTCTCTGTGATCTCTCTCTGTGATCTCTCTCTGTGGTCTCTCTCTGTGGTCTTTCTCTGTGATCTCTCTCTGTGATCTCTCTCTGTAATCTATCTCTATGATCTCTCTCTGTGATCTCTCTCTGTGATCTCTCTGTGTAATCTATCTCTGTATTCTCTCTGTAATCTATCTCTGTGTAATCTCCCTGTAATCTATCTCTGTAATCTCTGTAATCTATATCTCTGTGATCTATCTCTATGATCTCTCTGTGATCTCTCTCTGTGATCTCTCTCTGTGGTCTCTCTCTGTGATCTCTATGTGATCTCCCTGTAATCTATCTCTGTAATCTCTGTAATCTATCTGTGTGTAATCTCTCTGTGATCTATCTCTGTAATCTCTGTGATATATCTCTGTAATCTCTGTGATCTCTGTGTAATCTATCTCTGTGATCTCTGTGTGATATATCTCTGTAATCTCTGTGATCTCTGTGTGATCTCTCTGTGTGATCTCTGTGTAATCTCTGTAATCTATCTGTGTGATCTCTCTGTAATATCTGTAATCTACCTCTGTGATCTCTGTGTGATCTCTGTAATCTATCTGTGTGATCTCTCTGTAATATCTGTAATCTACCTCTGTGATCTCTGTGTGATCTCTGTAATCTATCTGTGTGATCTCTCTGTAATCTCTGTAATCTATCTCTGTGATCTATCTGTGTGATCTCTCTGTAATCTCTGTAATCTATCTCTGTGATCTCTGTGTGATCTCTGTGTGATCTCTGTAATCTATCTTTGTGATCTCTCTGTAATCTCTGTAATCTATCTCTGTGATCTCTGTGTGATCTCTGTAATCTATCTGTGTGATCTCTCTGTAATCTCTGTAATCTATTTCTGTGATCTCTGTGTGATCTCTGTAATCTATCTGTGTGATATCTCTGTAATCTCTGTAATCTATCTGTGTGATCTCTGTAATCTCTGTGTGATCTCTGTGTAATCTCTGTGTAATCTCTGTGATCTCTGTGTAATCTGTGTGATCTGTGTGATCTCTGTGTAATCTCTGTGTGATCTCTGTAATCTGTGTGATCTCTGTGATCTCTGTGTGATCTCTGTGATCTGTGTGATCTGTGTGATCTCTCTGTGAGGGTGCAGGATCTGCTGGGAGCTCCCCATGCCAGCTCCCAGCTCCACTCGCTCCACCGCCTCCTCTGCAAAGCCCCTCCCCCCATAGCCCCTCCCCTCAACGCCCCCAAAGCCCCTCCCCTCAAAGCCCCTCCCCTCAAAGCCCCTCCCCTCAAAGCCCCCAAAGCCCCTCCCCTCAAAGCCCCTTCCCTCAAAGCCCCCAAAGCCCCTCCCCTCAAAGCCCCTTCCCTCAAAGCCCCTCCCCTCAACGCCCCCAAAGCCCCTCCCCTCAACGCCCCCAAAGCCCCTCCCCTCAACGCCCCCAAAGCCCCTCCCCTCAACCCCCCCAGAGCCCCCCAGCAGCCCCTGCAATGGGAGTGGAGCTGCGTCGGGGGGCGGGGCTCTGTCAAAGAGAGGGGGAGGGGCAGGAATGGGAGGGGCGTGAGCCTTGCCCCGCCCACTCTGGTGCAACTTCCGGAGAGAGGAGAGGGGAGGAGCTCCGTGGACAGGTGGGTGGGTGGGTGAGTGGGTGGGTGGGTGGGTGAGTGGGTGGGTGGGTGAGTGGGTGGGTGGGTGGGTGAGTGGGTGGGTGGGTGGGTGAGTGAGTGGGTGGGTGGGTGAGTGAGTGAGTGAGTGGGTGGGTGGGTGGGTGAGTGGGTGGGTGGGTGAGTGGGTGGGTGGGTGGGTGAGTGGGTGGGTGGGTGGGTGAGTGGGTGGGTGGGTGGGTGAGTGGGTGGGTGGGTGGGTGAGTGAGTGAGTGAGTGGGTGGGTGGGTGAGTGAGTGGGTGGGTGGGTGAGTGGGTGGGTGGGTGGGTGAGTGAGTGGGTGGGTGAGTGGATAGGTGGGTGAGTGGGTGGGTGGGTGGGTGAGTGGGTGGGTGGGTGGGTGAGTGGGTGGGTGGGTGAGTGGGTGGGTGGGTGAGTGGGTGGGTGGGTGGGTGAGTGAGTGGGTGGGTGGGTGAGTGGGTGGGTGGGTGAGTGGGTGGGTGGGTGAGTGAGTGAGTGGGTGGGTGGGTGGGTGAGTGGGTGGGTGGGTGAGTGAGTGAGTGAGTGGGTGGGTGAGTGGGTGGGTGAGTGGGTGGGTGGGTGAGTGGGTGAGTGAGTGGGTGGGTGAGTGGGTGGGTGGGTGAGTGGGTGGGTGGGTGAGTGGGTGGGTGGGTGAGTGGATGGGTGGGTGAGTGGGTGGGTGGGTGGGTGAGTGAGTGGGTGAGTGAATGAGTGGGTGGGTCGGTGGGTGAGTGGGTGGATGGGTGAGTGAGTGAGTGAGTGGGTGAGTGGGTGAGTGAGTGGGTGAGTGAGTGAGTGAGTGGGTGGGTGAGTGGGTGGGTGGGTGAGTGAGTGGGTGAGTGAATGAGTGGGTGGGTCGGTGGGTGAGTGGGTGGATGGGTGAGTGAGTGAGTGGGTGAGTGGGTGAGTGGGTGAGTGAGTGGGTGAGTGGGTGAGTGAGTGGGTGAGTGAGTGGGTGAGTGGGTGAGTGGGTGAGTGGGTGGGTGGGTGAGTGAGTGGGTGAGTGAGTGGGTTAGTGAGTGGGTGAGTGGGTGAGTGGGTGGGTGGGTGAGTGAGTGGGTGAGTGAGTGAGTGAGTGGGTGGGTGAGTGGGTGGATGGGTGAGTGAGTGAGTGGGTGAGTGAGTGGGTGAGTGGGTGAGTGGGTGAGTGAGTGGGTGGGTGAGTGAGTGAGTGAGTGGGTGGGTGAGTGAGTGGGTGGGTGGGTGGGTGAGTGAGTGGGCGAGTGGGTGAGTGAGTGGGTGGGTGAGTGAGTGGGTGGGTGAGTGAGTGGGTGGGTGGGTGGGTGAGTGGGTGAGTGGGTGAGTGAGTGAGTGGGTGGGTGAGTGGGTGGGTGGGTGAGTGGGTGGGTGAGTGGGTGGGTGGGTGAGTGGGTGGGTGGGTGAGTGGGTGGGTGGGTGGGTGGGTGAGTGGGTGGGTGGGTGGGTGAGTGGGTGGGTGGGTGGGTGAGTGGGTGGGTGGGTGGGTGAGTCAGTGGGTGAGTGAGTGAGTGGATGGGTGGGTGGGTGAGTGGGTGGGTGGGTGGGTGGATGGGTGGGTGGGTGAGTGGGTGGGTGGGTGAGTGGGTGGGTGGGTGAGTGGGTGAGTGGATGGGTGGGTGAGTGGGTGGGTGGGTGAGTGGGTGGGTGAGTGGGTGGGTGGGTGGGTGAGTGGGTGGGTGGGTGGGTGAGTGGATGGGTGGGTGGGTGAGTGAGTGGGTGGGTGAGTGGGTGAGTGAGTGGGTGAGTGGGTGAGTGAGTGGGTGAGTGAGTGGGTGAGTGGGTGAGTGGGTGAGTGGGTGGGTGGGTGAGTGAGTGGGTGAGTGAGTGGGTTAGTGAGTGGGTGAGTGGGTGAGTGGGTGAGTGGGTGGGTGGGTGAGTGAGTGGGTGAGTGAGTGAGTGGGTGGGTGAGTGGGATGGATGGGTGAGTGAGTGAGTGGGTGAGTGGGTGAGTGAGTGGGTGAGTGGGTGAGTGGGGTGAGTGAGTGGGTGGGTGAGTGAGTGAGTGAGTGGGTGGGTGAGTGAGTGGGTGGGTGGGTGGGTGAGTGAGTGGGCGAGTGGGTGAGTGAGTGGGTGGGTGAGTGAGTGGGTGGGTGAGTGAGTGGGTGGGTGGGTGGGTGAGTGGGTGAGTGAGTGAGTGGGTGGGTGAGTGGGTGGGTGGGTGAGTGGGTGGGTGAGTGGGTGGGTGAGTGGGTGGGTGGGTGAGTGAGTGGGTGGGTGGTGAGTGGGTGGGTGGGTGGGTGAGTGGGTGGGTGGGTGGGTGAGTGGGTGAGTGGGTGAGTCAGTGGGTGAGTGAGTGAGTGGATGGGTGGGTGGGTGAGTGGGTGGGTGAGTGGGTGGGTGAGTGGGTGGGTGGGTGGGTGGATGGGTGGGTGGGTGAGTGGGTGGGTGGGTGGGTGGGTGGGTGGGTGAGTGGGTGAGTGGATGGGTGGGTGAGTGGGTGGGTGGGTGGGTGAGTGGGTGAGTGAGTGGTTGGGTGGGTGGGTGAGTGGATGGGTGGGTGGGTGAGTGGATGGGTGAGTGGGTGAGTGGATGGGTGAGTGGGTGAGTGAGTGGTTGAGTGAGTGGGTGGGTGAGTGGATGGGTGGGTGGGTGAGTGAGTGGGTGGGTGGGTGAGTGGATGGGTGGGTGGGTGAGTGGGTGAGTGAGTGAGTGGGTGGGTGGGTGAGTGGATGGGTGGGTGGGTGAGTGGGTGGGTGAGTGGGTGGGTGGGTGAGTGGATGGGTGGGTGAGTGGGTGGGTGAGTGGGTGGGTGGGTGAGTGGATGGGTGGGTGGGTGAGTGGGTGAGTGAGTGAGTGAGTGGGTGAGGTTGGGTGAGTGGGTGGGTGAGTGGGTGGGTGAGTGGGTGGGGTGAGTGGGGGTGAGTGGGTGGGTGGGTGGTGGGTGGGTGGGTGAGTGGGTGGGGTGGGTGAGTGAGTGAGGGAGTGGGTGGGTGGGTGAGTGGGGTGGTGAGTGAGTGGGTGAGTGGTGGGTGGGTGAGTGGGGTGGGTGGGTGGGTGGGTGGGTGGAGTGGGTGGGTGGGTGGGTGGGGTGAGTGAGTGAGTGGGTGAGTGCGTGTGTGAGTGAGTGAGTGGGTGGGTGGGGTGGGTGAGTGGGTGGGTGGGTGAGTGGGTGGGTGGTGGGTGAGTGGGTGGGTGGGTGGGTGGGTGAGTGAGGTGGGGTGGGTGGGTGAGTGGGTGGTGAGTGGGTGGGTGGGTGGGTGAGTGGGTGGGTGGGTGGGTGGGTGAGTGGGTGGGTGGGTGAGTGGGTGGGTGGGTGGGTGAGTGAGTGGGTGGGTGGGTGGGTGAGTGAGTGGGTGGGTGGGTGAGTGGGTGGGTGAGTGGGTGGGTGGGTGGGTGAGTGGGTGGGTGGGTGGTGGGTGAGTGGGTGGGTGAGTGGGTGGGTGGGTGAGTGAGTGGGTGGGGTGGGTGAGTGGGGTGGGTGGGTGGGTGAGTGAGTGGGTGGGTGAGTGGATAGGTGGGTGAGTGGGTGGGTGGGTGGGTGAGTGGGTGGGTGGGTGGGTGAGTGGGTGGGTGGGTGAGTGGGTGGGTGGGTGAGTGGGTGGGTGGGTGGGTGAGGGGGTGGGTGGGTGGGTGGGTGAGTGGGTGGGTGGGTGGGTGGGTGAGTGGGTGGGTGGGTGGGTGAGTGGGTGGGTGGGTGAGTGAGTGGGTGGGTGGGTGGGTGAGTGGGTGGGTGGGTGAGTGGGTGGGTGGGTGGGTGAGTGAGTGAGTGAGTGGGTGGGTGAGTGGGTGGGTGAGTGGGTGAGTGAGTGGGTGGGGTGAGTGGGTGGGTGGGTGAGTGGGTGGGTGGGTGAGTGGGTGGGTGGGTGAGTGGATGGGTGGGTGAGTGGGTGGGTGGGTGGGTGGGTGAGTGAGTGGGTGAGTGACTGAGTGGGTGGGTCGGTGGGTGAGTGGGTGGATGGGTGTGTGAGTGAGTGAGTGGGTGAGTGGGTGAGTGAGTGGGTGAGTGAGTGAGTGAGTGGGTGGGTGAGTGGGTGGGTGGGTGAGTGAGTGGGTGAGTGAATGAGTGGGTGGGTCGGTGGGTGAGTGGGTGGATGGGTGAGTGAGTGAGTGGGTGAGTGGGTGAGTGAGTGGGTGAGTGGGTGAGTGAGTGGGTGAGTGAGTGGGTGAGTGGGTGAGTGGGTGAGTGGGTGGGTGGGTGAGTGAGTGGGTGAGTGAGTGGGTTAGTGAGTGGGTGTGTGGGTGAGTGGGTGGGTGGGTGAGTGAGTGGGTGAGTGAGTGAGTGAGTGGGTGGGTGAGTGGGTGGATGGGTGAGTGAGTGAGTGGGTGAGTGGGTGAGTGAGTGGGTGAGTGGGTGAGTGGGTGAGTGAGTGGGTGGGTGAGTGCGTGAGTGAGTGGGTGGGTGGAGTGAGTGGGTGGGTGGGTGGGTGAGTGAGTGGGACGAGTGGGTGAGTGAGTGGGTGGGTGAGTGAGTGGGTGGGTGAGTGAGTGGGTGGGTGGGTGGGTGAGTGGGTGAGTGGGTGAGTGAGTGAGTGGGTGGGTGAGTGGGTGGGTGGGTGAGTGGGTGGGGTGAGTGGGTGGGTGGGTGAGTGGGTGGGTGGGTGAGTGGGTGGGTGGGTGGGTGAGGGGGTGGGTGAGTGGGTGGGTGGGTGGGTGCGTCAGTGGGTGAGTGAGTGAGTGGATGGGTGGGTGGGTGAGTGGGTGGGTGGGTGGGTGGATGGGTGGGTGATGGGTGGGTGGGTGAGTGGTGGGTGGGTG